GGTGCCAGAGAGATCAAGTCGCCTGTAGTCAGGTGAGAGGGTTGGTGATCTGGGAGTGGTCCACGCACAGCAGGGACCCAAACCGTAATGTCAACCCGGCCGGCAAAACCAGCTATCGCCAGGAGTTCTGCTTTTGGGGCCTCCGGGTCCGCATGGCCAGCGAAGACATAGCCTCCTACGGCCCTACAGTCAAAGATCACGTCACAGAAGGGGCCTGGAAGTCCTGTGATTCCCAACAAAATCGCCATGTCGGCACAGGGCTGGGGTTCCACAACGAGGAGGCGCGGAAAGTATCGCCTGGTATCCGGCAAACGCAGCGCCTGGACCTCAAGCAACATATTCCGAAGGTCAACAGGTGGTCCGAGAGAAAGTGGGATGACTTCCGGCCTGTAATCCTCACAGAGCACCACAAAGAGGGCTCGCACCTGAGCTGGGATTCGTGGTTGGTCAAGGGTCTCTGGCGCCTCTACAAGGAAGGTCGGTGGCTGCCCACGTCTGGGAGAGCGGTCCCCTGGCACCCGCAGGTCTGGAAGACCAGGCGTGCCTTCCTCTCTGCTCTGCTGGTCCAAGGTGCCCTGTGGGATGGGGGCATCGCCCATCTTGTCACACAAAGGCTCGCTGTAGATGCAACCTTGCCTCCCTCCCCAGAGACAGGGATCCCCAACCTGGGCCTCGAGGCATGGTAGGTGGCCTGGCGCCAAGCGGATGACTTTCAAGCAGACATCAAACTTTGATGACAAAATTGCTGGCGGTTGGGGGCCAAAGGTGGTGTAACTCTGCAGTGGTACATGGCTCACACCTGAGCCCTCCGGCGGAGGAAGGTGACTTTGGTATGAGCTGTCCCCGCTTGCCTTGGATAGGGAAACATCCCTGTGTCTCGACCTTGACCTTGTTGAGTCGTCGGACCCTGGTTCACCGTCTTGGGATTGGGATGGGTCGTCAGATCCATCCGGTTCTGACTCTGCAGCCTCATGTCCGACCTGATCATCCGGCAAGAAGGCTAAGACTAGAACCTCCCCACTATGGAACTCATAACCATCATCCCTCAACTGTCCACCCATGACCGCCAACCTGTGCCCCGGAGGCGGTGGACATTGTACGTATCCCCGCAGAAAGTCACGGGACACGCGGTAATGATCGAAGACGCAGAAGTTCACGTCTTGGCCGACTGGCCTGGCACCTAAGAATAGAATCGCCGGCAGTGGGCGATTCTGTTGATCACGCTCTGTGCTGCGTCCGATCACAGCGATGATTCCGCGAACTGGGACGCCGTGGTAGACGTATGGTATAGGGCCTTGCGCCGAAACTATACGCGATTCAGACATCTCTGCCCCGACAAAGTGCGTAACGCGCAACATGTTCTGAAAATCACATTGCACAATTTCGCTGAATAAATACTTGCCGGAATCATGCAAGAGGAGGACGCAGAGTGCTTTTGCAGTGGATGGTATAGGGTCAAGGCTCAACCACGGCGTTGGTTGGAGGAGGGAATACTCCAGGGATGGGCCCCAGAGAGGGACGTGGCCTGCAGGGACCACATGCAGGGTGTCACCCTCCTCGACACATATTTCCCACCCGGCCTGCAAAGGTCGGAGGCTTCCGGCGACATACACCTCAAAAGGCGAGCAAACGGAGGGCCCGACGATTCTTTGGATAGCTTCAAGGCACGTTTGGTTAGGCAGTACCTCAGCAAAGACCTTGCCAGTGACAGGCCTAGCATCTACAAGGACCACAGCGAGACCTGCCTGCTTGAACCAATGCGGTGCGACTATCAGAGTCGCAGTCCCATCATTGAGCTGCGGCATTGCCGGGACAAGCTTGTTCCAGCAGTAATCGAGCGGCACAGGGGCAGCCTCATATATGCGATCCATAAAGTGCTCAATTGTGGCCGGAAGATCTAGGTAGATCTCTGTGGTTGTCAGGCGGTGCCCCGGCGCGCAAAGGGTCACCCGTGCTGAAACCTTAATGCCTGGCGTGGCAACGCATAGTCCAGGCTGGGCTTGGAGGCAGCTTGACGCTCCTTTTGAAGCAATGTCCGCTTCGACACGGGCTCTGTACCCTTGGCCTGTGTTGCCTCGCGAGGAGCCTGATGCCTCAGAATGTGGGGGAGGTAGTTCATCAGGTTCATGTACCTCTTGGCGGGAGGCAGGCTGAAGGTCTGCAACAATGTCGTGCCACGCACTGTGGCGATCTGTCACTGGTGCATCAGAGCTGCCGGGGTCTGGAGTCAAGGCTCGGTGTGCCTCGGTGAGGGCAGTTGCGAGCTCAGGGGGGACAGCCCAAACCTGAACTGGAAGTGCACCAAACCAAAGCAGGGCCCTAAACCAAAAGGGGATTTTAACGGGGCGAGGCTTCCGTTTATGCAAATTGGCGTGACTTCCAAACGAGTCAGCATAAGTTGGCCTCCCGATTAAGCCCCAGGGGAGGATGATTGCACCTGGGACTGCTGCACATGGCACACTGAGGAAGAATTGCATGGGGGAACGCCCCCCTGGCAGTGCACGCAACAGAAGCCTCCAGAGCACAAGAAGGTGTACGCCAGCCAATGCCAGAAAGAAGGCAATGGCCAAATTGCCTCCGAAACGGAACAGTGTAAGCCTGGCCTGTGAAGACGGTTCGGCGTGGCTGTCGGCCAGTAGCTTGGTCAGGCAGCTGCCTGCGCTACCTGCACGTTCACGGGCTTCTGTGCGGGCCCTGCAGGCGATTGTATAGGTTGGGCTGCAGCTAAGCCTTAGGGGAGGGGGGTAAGGAGAAGGCCCCAGAGCCACCGATGCCTTTCTTAGGCTCCCACCCTTACAACCCCTAAAACCGCTGAAAAAGGGCCCTCTATGTCCTGCCGCCACGTGTTTCCTGCGATCCCTGCAGGAGAGATATTTGGCCGGCGCGGTCACTTGGGGGATTCCACCTGGGCTTCGAGAACTAAGCCAACATCCTGCATAAGACCAGGCAGGGAAATGGCAAACCCAGGACAAGGCAGATCCAAGCCAGATTGCTCCCGGTGGAGTTGAAAGACGCCCCAAAATCAGAGGCATGTGGCGGCGAGGCTGCAGGGGTATGAAAAAGTCGAGCCCTGCGCCTCTTGTGGTTGAGAGAGGAAGAGGAAAACGCAGGCAGTGTGCTGATGGGGTAACTGGGCCGCAAAACTGTACAGGCGACTGTACAAAAAGGCCTCTCATTCCCTCCGGTTGCTCCAACCACGAATAGGCTGAGGCCGATTCACCGCCATCAACATCACACCCGCAGACACACACGCCCAAGTGTGGTCCGGGGGTGGATGAATCAGGGAGGTGTCGACTCCAGTCCCTTCGTGGGGGAGCCGCCACTAGCTGAGATCGTTGCCACCTGCATTGACCAGCTCGTCCTCGTCGTCGTCCGCCAGGATAGGGACACCACCAGGCCGTGCAAGCCCCACTGCAGGACCGGCAGGACCGGCTGTGTCGGTTGTCGCCCCTTCTTCCGGAGGTAGTGTCGGCGGGTTTCGGGAACCTCCAAAGGGCTCCATGGCTCGCCGCCGGGCAACACGATCTTGCAGGGTGGGGCTTCTCCCATAGCCCTCTGCCACTGGTTCTCCAGAAGGCGGTGGAGCCGGGTTCGGCGGTGCAGCTCCATCGCCCATCGCAGGTGCTGGCCCGACAGCAGGGCCAGTGGCTCCCATCATCGCCAAGTGTGGCTGCAGGAAGGCGCCGGTAGCACCAGCCGGAATCATAGGGGCCTGCCCCATGCATGCTTGGGGGTAGAGCCCTGTAGGAACCATGGTCGGCGACATCGCATTGTAATACGGATCTGTCACAGCCGGTGGAGTTGGGGCCATTGCCAGACCGGGCGGGGCCGCCACCATCTGGCCTATGCCCTGGGCAGGGGTCCTCGGCGCCGTCCGAGCCATGCGATTTGGCGTCGGCCTGGTCGGTGCGAGTGCCCTCCGAATCATAGCATCGTCGTCCCCAGCGTCCTCCCTGAGCCAGTCTGAGAAAACCTGGTCGGCATCTGGTCCGTCCATGGCCACATCCCCGATCTCTGCATTGCTTTGCGAACCTGCAAAGACATCGCGCAGGTTCTGTCTGGCTGCCTCCTGTGCTTCCTCGGCTTCCAAAATAGCTTTCGCAAGCTTGTCTTTGTCCTTGGCGAAGCGGAGGCGTTCCACCCGGAAGGCTTCTTTCATCTGGGCCTGATACTCCTCCCATAGTTTCCCCGACTCGGCCAAGGCATCGTGTAGCCGAGTCACACGGTTCTCGGCCTTCCTGGTCTGGTTGAGTGCCGCTTGGATCGCCGGGGTAGTAGAGGAAACCCGGCCACCAGCTCTGTCTGAGGCAGTACCGGCTGCCGTTGGCTTGTCCGTCGGGATGGTCACCGAAGCGTAGGAGGGGAAAGCTGGTGCGGTCCTGGTATTCTCTGACCTCCACGGTCTCTTGTCCTTGGCAGCAGGCTGCTGCGGCGAGTAAGCACCAGGCCACACCCGGTATCCTCGTTCTGCATTTTGCCATGGCTGCTGTCCAGACTTCCCTCCCCTGCCCATTCAGCTGAGCGAGTGCGAAGTGTGGGGAGCTGTCCCGTGGTGGGCAGCTAAATCCCTCAGTCTTCGCTTGCTCGGGTTCAACCCCTTTCGCAGAAGTGCCCTGGCGGAGGAGCGGCGTTTGCGGAGGCGCCGGTGCCAGCTAGGGGACTTAGCAATGGCTACGGGGGAGCCCAGTCGCACCGTATTGGTGCTTGGGGCCACAGCAATCGCCTCTGTCGGCGTGTTCTGAGCCCTACTACTACTACTACTACTACTACTACCACTACTACTACTACTACTACTACTACTACTACTACTGCTACTATTACTACTATTACTACTATTACTACTATTACTACTACTACTACTACTACTACTACTCCTACTCCTACTCCTACTAGCACTGCTGCTGCTACTACTACTACTGCCGCAAAAAAAGTAACGGTCACAAGAATTATCCACCAAACTGAAAGGCTTTGGCACAGCAAACATGTGAGAATGGCATAGAATGACACGGGAAGACGAGTGCCTTGAAGGTATGGACAACATAATGGTACACTACCTGGCTGGCAGCAAGCATGTAAATCAGGACACGAAGCTGTGTGGCCTGACCCTGCTGCATTACGCTGTGCCTTGCTCCTGGGTCGTATTTCTGAAGGAGGGATTGCCGGCTCCACCCTATGGCGAAGCTGTGAATCTCATCTGCTTTCATGACTGGGGTGGCAGGGAGGGGGCATGTAAGAAAGCTATAGAAAACTCATCTATCATCTGCCGCTTGACTAAAGCCAGGTCTGAAATACTCATACATGACATTATGCGTTTGTTTGGTGAAGTTTGTGGCAGGTTGCAAAAGTCGCTGACCCCTCTTGTCCTGGTTTGATTCCTCGGTCGCTTCAAGATCCCAAAGCTCCGAAATATTTCCAAATCTTCAGCCCCTAAACCCAACTCAAGCTCCGAATCTGGACTGTTTGCCTTTGCTCTCTCTTTTGAGCTGCACCAAGGATCCTAGCATTGGATTGGATTGTTGGTCGACCTGTATCCGTCATGCAGTTTGATGGTTGGGACCTGCTCTCAGCTTCCATGCGAGCTATGCAATGGAAAGTGCCGGTGCCACTGCCCCAGGACACCATCATGAAGTGTGCTGACCCTACCGATGCTTGGCTGATCGTTGTAGGCTGAGTCCTGAGGCCCAGGCTGACGTTCTTCTTTCAGGAAGCAGTAGGTAACATCGGTTAACCGACAATCATAGCAACGCGCAACGCTCTGCTCCACGTTACCTCGGAGGACTGGGGGCTAAACGGCCTTGGCGGACTCTGGGCCTTCGAGCCCAGCTTAGACTGTCCCGAAGAAGAGCCCTTGGAGTCACTTGGCCAGGGCCACACAATGGAAGAGATAATTGGAAGGTTCAGGTTTGGGGCTTCTGGAACATCCACTCGCTCAGACCTAACAGAAATTCACGCAAGCAGAGGGAACAAGTTACAAAGAAGACACACGAGCATAAGGGAGGCCAGTGGCCGATGTTTTGGCGATGATGCTGGAGTTGAGTTTGTTTGTTTTGCGCTTTTGCAGGCGGAATGCACCTGCCAGTTGTTAAGTTCTCAGGCCCTTGCCTGATCCGTTGCCGCAGCTCCCGCCACTGACCTCCACGATGCTGATCGAAACCTGGGCGCGCAAGGCAGCTTTCGAATCATGCTTCTGTCCTTCAGTCAGACATCTGACCCGATCGGCAATGAGGCGGTTGACGAGGATCGGCCTAATGTTGATGACATGAAAGTGGTCTCACTTGGCTCCAGCGGCCTGGTGAAGGCCCGGGAGGTGTCCAGAAGAAGGTTAGAAGATGCTGGGATGTTGTAGCGATGTATGGCAAGTTTCAAGTCTTCCAGCCGTGCTCGTGCTCGCGGCGCAACTCACTTCGCAGTTCGAGGCTTCGCTGCTGGCAATGGGGATCGACAGCCCAGAGTTGCCGTTCGATTGGCTTCAGATGCTTGGCTGTAGTGCATGATCGCGCGGCTTTCTCTACACATACTGACCGGGTGGCCTGACTCCGAGGATTAGCGATTCCGGCGTGCTGCATTTCATTCGTCATGGCTGGGAGGTTGCGTGTCGGTAAAGCACCAAATGGCCCGCCCAACACTTGCCATGCTGGCTCTGAGGCACCCACTCGTGAAGGGCTAGGAGCCGGTGGGCAGCGACCATCCGAAAAACATGGATTCTTCGACTACATGACCAGGCCTGGTTCAGGGCTGGACTGGAGCTTCAAAGATCTGCCAGTCCTCAGGAGAAGTGTTCCTGGAACCTCGCTGGTCATGTGCCGCTCGTACGTCCATTCCTTTTGGCATGATGATCCCGCAAAGCCAGAGGCGCAGCAGCAAAGCTAGACGCGCGGAGCGTGCTTGCCTTGGTGAAGTAATCGTACCAAAATATCACTGGCGAGGTTCGCGAAAAATTCACAAGACTTTTTTCGCAGTTCGACGAGCTGGCGAAAGAAGAACGCAGTCTCAAGCTTTTCGTGCGGTCTGTGGCGACCTCGAGCGAACTCGGACGGGCTCACGACCTGATGGAGGCTGGATCTCGTTCATGTGCAGTGTAAAGCACCTAGTGAGATCGTGGCAAGGCCGTGACCGCGAAATTTGGCAAACAGGCTGCGCTGTTGCTCCTCGACCTCTTTTGTTGAGCTTTGTCCTGTCGGTTTCAAGTCCCTTGCTCCGTGGGTGAACTCACGTTTAGCTCAGGTTGATCTGCGACTTTCAGAGTAAAGTCCAGGGACCGCACATGGTGGATCCTTACGAGGATCTTTTGGTCTACTTCTTGGAGGCTCGCGTACAGTCCGCTTAGTAGAGTTTGGGTGAACATCTTCACGATTCTTTGAGATAGTGTAAGTACGATCAGAGCTTGGTTCTTGCACTATCCGACCCCTGAGGGATCCGCCCACAAGGAGGCGATTCCATACAAGAAGCCAATCCTTGCCGCATTGGACTGGATTGCCGGGATGGAGCTTCAGACCCTCGGACCTCTGACTTCTCTTTCTGTGTGCACTTTGAAGCGCGCTTTTTGCCAAGGGTGGACGTCGCTTCTGACTTCAAGGCCGGAACCTGCCGGACAGCTGAAGTGTCGGAGCGTCGCGCGCGCTTTTCTTCCCGCCGCAGGCTCTGGAAGCTTTGGCCGAGCCAACTTTGTGGGGACTGCGTGGCTTAGGCCCGCGGCAGGCCGTGACTTTGACGCCTGCTTGCAGCCGATGAAAGGCGGCTTCAACGCCTTCGAGATGTTGCCACCTGACGACGACAGTGAGTGGCAACCTGGGCCTGAAGAGAAGTGGCTCGTCGATGCCAAGATTGAAGCGGACAATGACAACAATGCCGCGGAAAAGTGGCTTGCCAGCTTTTCAATGCATGGCTTGGACCCATATCCTTCGCCAGTGTTGAGGGAGAGACAGGCACTGTCTAAGCACATGATTTGCGCGGATGTAGCCGCAGCATGTTGGCTCCCGATTGATTGGTTCGTCGCAATGCCATGAAGCGGACGTGGGCCCATGCGGCCCCTGGAAGACCTGCTAGAAGAGCATGAGGCACAGCCGAGGGCGCAACAACTGTCGGCTGATCGTTGCTTCCACATCTTTTGGTTGATCTTCCAGTGGAAAGAAATTCTCCCCGGTTTGTTACGCTGACAGGCGCAAGCAGAGCAACAAGCGATCGAGAGTGGACGGCAGCTCGATGCACATCATGGGCGTGTTAATTCATGACTTGTTTGTGGGCTAGCCAAGGTGACCCGGCACCCAAGAGACGAGTCAGGATCGAAAAAGTGTGTTTGGCTCCCCGTGTATTCCGCCATGTAACGACTGTTCGTGTGCGAGGTCCAAGGCTTTGGCCGGCGCTGAGGGATCCGGAAGAGCTCCAGCCAAGGGGCGTGCGCCCAAGAAGCAGGCAACAGAAACAGAACCGGGCGCCTTGGCAATAGTTGAGTAGAGCAGCTTGTGCTGCAGCATGGTGGGGTTGGAGCCTGAGCTACCTGGCTACAAACGAGGAGATGACGAACATGAACCCGAGCTCGATGACTCTGATTTAGATTCTTCGGACACTTGGCACCTGCTGATCATGTTTCGTCTGTGAATTCGACATGTACACTTTAAAAGTGGAGCTTTCTTTTGTCAATTTGAAGGACTTGGATGCTACTCTCATGGCAGTTGGTGGCCGGGATCTTGAAGAATCAGGTACCGGGCTAAGTAAGAGTTATGCGATTTCTGGAGAGCTAGTCATGGCTGCCTTGATATGGAGTAGTTATGCACCGAGTGCAAACTACACACCCAACAGTGTTCAAGTGCGGGAGATGAACGTATGTGGAGGTTTGTCACACGCAGCAGTGCCTGTGGCCATGTTTCCGAAGGCCTTTTGGCACAGAGAATCCACGCCCGCCGGCAAAACAGGAAGAAGAAGAAGAAGCGAAGGTCTCACGTCACGACTTCTTGCTTGACCAGATTCCATGCATGATTGTATGCCTAGCAGCACAGGTGTTTACTTAAGTCAGTACTCGACATGCCGCATCACCACGTCATCTGACGAAAAGTCCAAAAACAGCAATAGGATGATCACCGTACCTTTTTGCTGCGGTACGCCTTTGTTGTTGCATAGCCTACCAGTAGTACCTATTCTTACCCTCGGCATTCTTGGTACATAAGTCTGCCCCTGCAAGACCCGAGCTGCGTCCACAGGAAGAAGACGACTCGCAAAGCTGCGCTTCAGTTTTCCCGCGAGAACTGCCAGGCTGAGAGAAGCCGGGAAGCAAAACACAGCAAGCGAGAGTAAGGTCGAATGAGAGCTCAATGGCTTTGCAAGACAATGTGGCATCAAAGAAGCATTGAAGAGAGCATAATACATGCCAAGACAAGATGGCAATGACAAAGTTTCAGACTGACGTACACTGACCCGGACGTTTCTCGGGAGGCAACGCCCGAAGCCCGCGCACTGCTCTCACGTGGACAGCAGCAATTCTATTGCGGAGAGTTCGCCGATGCCATCGAGACGATGCGGGCAGTGATCCGCTTCCTGGGAGCACTGGGTTTGCCATTCCGAGTGCGGTTTCCGCCAACGCCTCCAAGGAGAGCAACCGGGACTGGCCGACCCATACCACGTCCTGCACCAAGTCTACACGGAGCTCGGGGAGGAGAAGAAGGCTGCGCCTCACCAGCTTGCCCTAGAGTCCAGGGAGATGCAGCGACCGGAGAGGCAATTCACCATCTGATCCTGTGCGCCTACTTCACAAAGCCTGCAGCTGATGTTCCTTGTCCAGGATTCTGCTGTGATTTGAAATATGTCCAGAGTCTCATACAACACATCTGACTAACTGCACCGGAAATGGTAAAGAAGACAAGCAAGCACACACACTTGATAACGGAATCAGGTCAGAGCTCCAACATACTAATCGAGATGACCGTTTCCTATCGCTGCGCTTAGAAGGAGCACCAAGCCAGTAGGCACTGAATCAGGCCAAGATTCGACCCATCGAGCATTCCATAGGCAAAGCCGTTGACGGAACATTGCCATGCCGCGATGCGACCCAGGTGCGGTATCTCGTTGGGTTTTCGGCCCGTTCTAGGGGGGCTGGGCGTCATCAGTGGAGACCCCCCTGAGGAACTTTGCTCCAGAACCCGTCCCGAGATCACTCAGCGACAACGCGCAAGCCCTTTGAAACATTGGCGGACACATACCCACACGCAGCCAAACAGGCAGACAAATTCACGAGTGACATGTTTTGTTACGTATTGTTGTGCATGCACGCCATACTGTGTTTCTTCTGGACTCAACGTAATCACCTGCACTTGAACATGCGATCTGGAGGAAAACCCTTTGGGATGAAGAAGCGCTTGCTTGCTGCTCTGCGGTCTTCTTGGGGTAAACAAGCTTCATGACTGTTCACAAACGGCGAAAGCTGCACCAGCCTTATTGCCCACGACACGCGCTTCCACCAGGTTTCCGTCATTGTCACCCCCGGTTGTTGTGATGTATCTCATCACGGTCCTTTCCTGAAACCTGTGCACGACATGCAAGCAGCTTCAGATCGAGCATCTTAGGACTTAGGAGCAAGCACTTCAAGCTCTCAAAACAGCTCAGCGGGGGCCTGATCTAACAGTGCGCAAAGCAATGACTGTCGAGTGCAGACAGCATACACTGCGCACGCTCGCAACTTTAGGCAACTGATGCACTGAGAACCATTTGCCTGACATCGATGAACTGTTCAGGGGCTGAGCTTCAAGATTCGACCCATCGAGCATTCCATAAACAAAGCCGTTGACGGAACATTGTCATGCCATGACGCGCATGATGCACTAAGCTTATACCCACCAGCTGCCGCGATGCGACCCAGGTGCGGTATCTCGTTCGGGTTTTCGACCCGTTCGCTCGGCGAAAACGTGCAAGCCCTTTGAAGCAGGGGTGGACACACACACACACACAGACAGACACAGAGATGGATACAACGGCAGAGTGCTATCTATCGAAGCAGCTAGGTTTGTCAAGGCATCGTCGCCTAAACCCAGGCTCGGCCGCTTTGGCAGAAGATTGGGTATGCATCCACCCGCTTATCACTCGTCGACCAGGCATCGGGAAAGGGTCGAATCCGTAAGCGTGCAACGGGCAACAGACCGAACTGGATCTAGGCCTTCTTGGTTGAGACTTTAGTTTGGCGTTGTCCGTTACCGGGATTGTGAGAAGTGCTGCTGTGGTGTATCGAGCTTAGCTGTGAGTTTACGGTTTAGCTATCATGTGTAGCTCGGCGACTGAACAATTGTTGGCCGTTGTATTGATGAGGTGACAAGCTCATCAGCCAGTGTAACCCCTCCATCAAACTTGTCGTTTGAACAACGGGTCTCATCAGATAGTCAAGGGAGACTTCATGTGTTTGTTGCTGCTGTTCATGCGCGTATTGCCTTTGTCTTGTTTGACTCTCGGTGCATGTACATTCTCCTTCAGTCCAGGTGGAATGCCAAACTTTCGACCACTGCTGTATTAGAGTTAGAATGACCTAGTCCGACTTGCGCACGTTTGTGCATATTTCTGTACATGCGCATATTGTCAGCCTTCACCATGCCTGAGTACAAGTGCAGTGCATGTGTTTTGTGACTTGCCGTGCGTGCGCGTCAGACACGCCCTGTCTGCCTATCGCAATGAAGCTATAACATGGAGGGCCACCCGGCCACCGGTGTGCACCTGCAGTGATCGCTTGTGGCATCATCGCACCTCAAGCGGGGTATGGTTTATACTCGCTGTTGGTCTCATTGACTGAGTGTTGACATGTCTCCGCGGTCATGACATGAGTGGCATTGCAAGTGCAGTTTCATGCTCTAAATTTGGAACAAGTACGACCATTTCAGAGTCACCGCGCGAGTCAGTGAGATGCTCGTGTACGGGTATTCTGCACGATAGCATAATAGTATAATGAGGAGTGTCGTTGTTGGCGGCAGCGCAGGCTTGCTATGCTTTCAAGCGCAGCCTCCCACCTCGAGGCAGGAAGGGTGCGAAGGTGTCCAGGCGAAGCACGCTCGCTTGACATGATTTGCTCATTGAGCGTTTCGAAGCCCGGAGTGCCTCGAGCACAACAGGCTCACGCACGGAAGACGACTGGAGGTCTCTTTGGGAACTCTCCAAGCTGCTCTTTCAGAAGGCACAAGTAGATTGCAACTTTTGGGTAAGGCTTGAGCACGGTGTTGCATCCTTCAGCTCAGGGCAGCCATGACCAGGGCATAGAGGTCTTGTACGAACTCTACGAGGCCTGCGTAGAGTGCCCGAAAGAAGCTGCTGAGTACTCGCACATTCAGCAAGATGAAATCTGAAAGCGGCCCAGCTCTAAACCGAAGATATGTTTTTCGGTTCTGCTGTTTTCGATGCAGCTCGGGCCTGACCCGACACCTTTGCCCGAAGGAGACAGAGGAGCCACAGCTGGCGGTTGAGGTGGCCAAGAAGCTCGTCAGGAGGCATGCCGGCAGACATGGAAGCTTCAGCTTCACGTGGGAGCTGCCCAGGCATCGCTGGAAGGAGTGTCTTGCCTTGCTGGAAAGCTGTGTGCAGAAAGGCCGCGAGGCAGCGGGCATCCCTCGTGCAGTGCCTAAGGGACCGAGAATTGCCAAGTAGAGACAGAAGAGCAGGCCTCATCGCTGCAGCTGGCTCAGACTCGAGATTTGGAAGTATGCACAATCAGAGTACAATCAGTCATGTGGCAACATGGCCACAGGGCTTAGAATGACAGCATCCAAGTCGCACTTGCCCAGACGTCCGTTAATACTTGGCCACTTGATTGCCGATGCAATGTCAACCGATGAGCTGAACACCCGGATAGAGAACATCCTCCGGTGGCAGCCCATCGAGGGGCGCTGCAACCTGCAGTTTGTTGCATCTATTGTGCCGGCGAGGTGGTCCAAGAGAGCTCGCATGAACTCACACGCTTCGGCAGAGGATCTACTACCCGAGCTTCATCAAGGAGTCGGCGATTCGACGCTTGCAGCAGTGGGAAGGCAGAGAAGGACCGCCTGCAGCTTGGAAGCCAGGCATGCGGAGAACAAATGCGATTGTCCCTGCGCAGTCCAGGAGATGTCTTCCTCGTGTCCAACTTTCCGGTTCGAGGCACCACTGGGGGACCTTGTCTTTCACGCTCACACACAGCCGCCACCAGAAAAGACGGGCAAGAAGCTGCGAGATATTGGGGTTTTAGAGTTTGGATACGGCCACGGGGAGAGCCATTGGCAGCACAGGTTTATGCCGGAGGCCGGCCTAAGCGCAGCTGATACTTCACAACGGGAGCCATGACGAGTCAGCCCTGGAGGCTTGCAACGAGTCCTCACCTGTCTGGTGGAAGGCCATTTGCTTAGTTTGGGCTTCACGTGAGTCATTAGAGGATCATTAGAGCAAATGTCCGGTGAGGGGGGGCTTCTGCCATCCTCCAGGCCATGTATATCGCTGCCCGATAAGTGTCCAAAATGACGTGAAGTCAAAACCAGCTCCTCTGCAGCCGGCAATCTCACGTTGCGACATGAATACTGTGTCAGCTTGGCCTCGTTTAGGAATCCGCTGGCTTTGTTCTGCATTTTGTTGCATAGCGAGTGGCCGGGCCTGCCGGGCCTTGGCAGAGCTCCGGCGATCCCCAGGCCGCGACAATCCATGGGAAGGAGGCCTGCTGGACAAGCCGTACTACTGCGAACCTCTGCTTTCAGAGCATGCAGTGTGGTGCAGCATTTGTGCGTTGACCCCGAAGGTCCGCTGACCCGAATGCAGGAATAACGTTGCCATGTGGGTGGTTGTCAAAATTAACCTCCCTTTTCTGGTCCTGAAGATAATACTGCACCTAGTATTCAGCGGACCCAAAAAGGGATTACGGTTTTGAAAACCACACATGTTGTGACAATGACAAAGACTTTAGCAGAAATGAACCTGATGTCGAAGCGTTCCGAGGCATACGGTTCAGCTTCGGAGATCCATGCTGGAAAAGGCCCATGATGATGATAATGGTGATGATGATGATGATGATGGTGTTCGAAAACGGCTTGCTCCGTTACGACTCCAGCCAGAGGAAATTGTTGACGACCAACCGAGGGTTTGCCCAGGAAATCGGAAGCTGCCTCCTGCATTCAACTCCAATCGTGACTGCTCCTGCTGCTGCTGCTGCTGCTCCTGCTCCTGCTACTACTACTACTACTACGACGACGACGACGACTGCTTCTGCTACTGCTTCTGCTTCTGCTACTGCTACTACTACTACTACTACTACTGCTGCTACTACTGCTGCTACTACTACTACTACGACGACGACAACGACTACTGCTACTGCTACTACTGCTACTGCTGCGGCTACTGCTAATGCTATACGATAATCGCAGCGACTTCTACCACTCCTCCTCCTGCCCCTATCGCTCCTGCTCTTGCGTGACAGTTACTAAGCAAGAAGTGTTTGCTGGTCAGTCGTTCGCGACTTCACCTGCATCCGAGGAAGCAGGCGCTTCCAAGAGAGGCGTCGACGAGTACCTCGGTGAGGCAAACGCCTGGCACTTCCGGCGCTGCTTCAAGACACATGCTTTCCCCCACTTGCCACCTGGCTGCTGTCATTCTTCGTAGCAGATACCTCGAAAATTGTGACCCGAAGTTAGTTGATCTCGGTTGCACAGTCGTTCATTGACATCTACCGCTGAGGGTTTGTCTGTGAAGATGCTCAGATTTCCTAGGTTTCCATGCCGGTATCCATTTCCGAAATCACAT